TTATAAAAAGCATTTTCATTTCCTTCGAAATGAAAAGTCACACCCCAATATTTATTCTAGTCTTGACCTTTAGACTTGAACTAATCGGGAGGATGGCACGGTACTTGACTAAGCTCACATACATTCTGCTCTGTCCGACAGAAAACATAAATAATGCCTGAAATATTGGCGTTCAGGATAGCTTGATCTTGTTGGCTAGAAAGAGTATAGCTCCAAGCAGGTGTCCGTCATTGGTTTGGTCTTTTTCAGCATCACTTTACAGTCGACTGCTCCTGGCATGGACAAGCTGGCAGAAAAGCATTGCAAAAGTCGGAGTTCTGTCGCGACAACCGTCGTGCAGCCACAGCCTGGCCGAGCCGAGAGGAAATTTCGACAAGTCTCAACGACTATTCATAACTGGCGGTTAGAGCAAGTCCTGGCAGGGAACGGTAGAGCATGTGAAATATGGTGCATGAAAAGAGTCGAGCAAATACTAGAAAATTGGACAAATGGAAATGCCTAAAGAATACACATTTTTCGGACAACATGACTCTGATATGTCTCGGCAACAGGTAGCCGTAGAAGGTCGAAGGCAGGACCGGGATTATGAAAGTAAAGAGAGGATGAAGTAGGACTCACAAAGGTTGATATGCCTATTCAGAAACTGCGGCCAATACCAATAAAATGGAATGTTCGATTGGCCACGAAGGAAAAAACAACACTCTTCCCAAGTCTACCAAGGCAACACGAGAGGGCTGACAAATTAGATTGCTCGGGAGTTTACTGCATAGCATGTGAGGAGTCTATTGGCGAAGCAAGGAAAAAAATCAGCATACAATTTAAGGAAGATTAAAGGCCATCCAAAGTATAGAATTTGCGGAACACACCACACGGACTGGACACTAGATTAATCGCTAATTAGAGGAAATGTAATCGCAAGAAAGAAGTTGATTATAAATATTCGGAAATGAAAAGAAGACGTTTCTAGTGAGTGTAGTCTGCTTGAGCAAACAACTACAACTTTGGGGTGGAATATAAAGAAGTGAAAAGTTGTGATTGTTCGGGAGTGAGATAAGAGGGTAGAGAGAAAGTAGAGAGAGGGAGGACATGGTAGACCAACTGTTCGACGGAAGGTTGGTCGAGAAAATGACTTAACCAGCCTCTTTGAGAAGTAGTGGCTAAAACTGGCGCCGATTCATCGACGATGCCGGCGAAACGTCTGGGAGTGTATCATGCCTACGGGAATTATGATAACTTCTATAACAGAGGATTTCGGGAAAGTGGCGTCCAACTTGGTCGTCCTGACAACACGATCAAGTTGAGAAGACGAATTCAGAAAACTTGTAGGCATCGATCAAAATAGAGACTACAACATATTTGTCTTAAGATCTCCATTGGAATATTTTAGGTTCATTTTGATACATTTGAGCTGTCACGGCTGTCTCTAGCCAGAACCCTTGTCGTAACAACCCACAGAACTGATTGCAACCTGCTAGACCTGTGTCCTCGCTGTCGCAAAGTTCAGACACCTGTAGGCATTGGTCTTCGTTTCCCTCGGTTCACGTCATTTCACGAATGCTCCAACGGCCTTTTATCGAAGGCGATCCCGAACTGGAATGAGAGCGATGGAGCAATGTGGAAAACTTCATTGTAATTCAATGAGAGGAGCGTAAAAGGGCATATGTTCACCCGAGAGTGAGCCAGAGAGAAAAATGTAGGAAACTGGCCGTTCAAGGGGTGAATTTGCTAGGGCAATGATTATGGGAATCTACAGTAATAAAGGCTATTTTATTGGAAAATCCTTCTTGTATTATTACTTGCATCTGTTCAGGCTGCTCTAGGTAGTGAAGGAATTGACGGCTTAATTTTTCCACAATATAATGACTACATAATGGGAATTTTATTCGATTAAATCTCTTTTAAATTCGTTGTATATAACTATATTTAGACAGCGCTTGTATGGCAACTCATCAATACTATATTTTTCGCATTAAGTATTGTTTTCGTGACTACCAGTAAATCAGTAGTATGAGATGTATTCACCCAATTTGGTTTAAGGTGATGAAGGACTGGTAGAACGAGAATTTTCCCACAATGATATGAGTTGAGCTGACGTTTCCATTGAATTTCACATAGCCTTGCTCTCCCAAAAGTTGCTCTCATCCAGGCACCAGTGGACTGCAGTTTCGACCTCGCATCGGTCTTATCAACACTCTCAGCGGGAGTCGAACTTCGACAGTGCAGGATGGGAGATTGACAGGCTAACCACTCGACTTCACTGCTACGAGCGTCTTTTGGGTTAGAGGGCAAATGTGAATTTTCAAGGAAGGCCAGGCTATCTGCCATATCATATTCTTTTGGTGAAATTGTCGGTGAAGCAAACGTATATTTGCTATAACAATCGACTACTCTACTTTATTTTTCGAATTAATTATTGTTTTCGTTACTACCAGTAAATCAGTAATGAGATTTATTCACCCAATTTCGTTCTACCAGTCTTTCGTCACCTTAAACGAAATTGGGTGAATACATCTCATATTAGATTATAATACTCGAAAACCGACTTATGAACTAAGTGTACGTTTCCATATCCGTCTTGACTCTAATGGAACTGATCACATATCACTACCCCACAAAGAATGTTTCTTTTCGAATTCATCATTAATTCATAAATAAAAACCAGAGTAAGTCTATTTGGCTATTCAGCAAGTCCAGCGGGACTCGAACTTAGGTCTTTAGCGTAAGCTCTTAAAAGTGAGCTGAGGAAGGCGGATATAAGTTGAGAGAGTACTGTTATTAGGTAAGATTATTTTTCGCATTAAAGTAAAAGTTTCGAGACTACCAGTAAATCAGTTATATGAGATGTATTCACACAATTTCGTTTAAGGTGAAGAAGGACTGGTAGTCACGAAAACAATACTTAATTCTAAAAATATTATAATCTAGCAGATGGCTATAGAACATGCAACTTTGCTTAATCGACAATCCCACAACAAAATCTGATAGGGCAAGGTGCTTGGCCATTCTTGAAATTCACATCTGCCCTGCGACCCAAGGGCCCCTGTGGCAATGTGGCGTTGTGGTTAATGGGTCGAGATTATGCGCCACATTGTCATGCTTCGAGTCCCGCTAGTGTTGCTGAATAGACCAGTCGGCGCAAAGTTAAAACTGCAGTCCACTCCAGCCTGGATGAGAATACCGTTTGGGAACAAGCAATGCAATGTGAAATTCTATGAAAACGTAACGTTTACTCATGTCATTGTGGAAAAATTCAACTACTAATTTCATAATCACCCTATATGAAATAGAGTGAATACATCTGATATAGCGAAGCGTATCTTTCGAGGGAGGAAACACCTCACAGCTACTTGATAGCAACTGCCTACACTCCGTCGAATGGGTCGCTTTGTTGGGTCATTCAAAGCAGAATCACTAAAAACTTTGTGCAGACTTTCAGTTCATACAAAAGTGCCTGATGAAGAGATGTATGCATCAAGTTTACCGGAAGGCAACGGCTGATTTCCATTATTTTGCTGCTGTACTACCACCGTTAAGTCGACGTAGTCCACAAAACATCTTCAGTCGTCTCGGCTGAAGATAGACTCATCCTCCGTCCGTCGTGCCACTCGACGGACATTGCCCGAGTTGGAACTCATTCTTGCAAAGTTTACTCATCTTTATATTCATAAAGGCTTGATTGCGTCATTTTCAGTAAAGTTTAAGAAGCAATGATGGATAAATTTGTCACACAAAGAAAAAATCTCATTTCCACTGGCCTTGTCACCCAGAAACACACATGCACATTCGAGTATAACTATCTGGATTAACATAAAATGGATTTAAATAATCATTCTATCTTTTTATTTGCGTTTTTAGTAATGAGTTCATGTAGAAAGCAGCAGAGAACTGGTCAGTCTTCTTGACTTTGCGTTAAGTTGAAGCCTTTGTAGGAATGAGTTCCATTTCTAATTGCATCCATCCTAGGACGGACGAAATAATGGTTCGTTTTCACCCAAAACCAGTGACAATGTCTGGCAAACCATGTAAATGTGAAAGTCGGAGTAAAATCAAACGACCGTACAACAACATGGTTCAGCCGTCGTCTTCTGTTGCGAATGACATGGGAATCTCTTCATCATGCATTTTCATACTAAATGAAAGTTTCCACACCAATTCCATCCCAAGAGATTCAACGAAACCTACTCCCTCTACGAGTGTACTATTAAGACGCTGTCGTATCTTGCATGATGATACACTCCTTGGACCTACAGGCATTTCAGGGTTTCGAACTCTGGGTCTTTAGTAGAGAACAGACTACCGGACGAAAAGCTCACTACATAGCACTCCGCTCCTTCG